TGCTTTGGGAGTCATATCCGTAAAGTCTTTTCCAAGTCCTATATCCTGAAGTGTTTCCTCTATGTTTTCTCTTAGGAGTTTTATAGTTTCTGGTCTTATATTTAAGTCTTTAATCCATTTTGAGTTTATTTTGGTATATGGTGAGAAGTACAGGTTTAGTTTCATTCTCCTGCATATGAATGTCCAGTTTTTCCTGCACCATTTATTGAAGAGGGGGTCTTTTCCTGAACGTATTTTCTTGTTGCCTTTGCTAAAGGTCAGTTGGCTGTAAGTATGTGGCCTGATTTCTAGGTTCTCTATTCTGTTCCATTGGTCTTTCTACTTTTATTTCTTTCTATTTTTATGCCAGTACCATGCTGTATTGCTTAGTTTAGCTTTGTAGTATAGTTGGAAGTCAGGGAATGTTAAGCAAACTTTATTGGCATTCCCAGGAATTCAGGTCAGGCTTGGTCAAGCAGTTTTTCCTCTGCTACTACCTCCTTCCCCCAACTGAGTCCTGTTTTGACTGGGGCCAAGAAAATTGGGGGTCTGTCCCCTGATTTCACAAGGATTACTTTGAGTTAAAGGCACTTAAAGAACAGCAGTTGCATAAAAGGGATTCTAACCTTCCCCCTTTTTTCCTGAATACAAGAGAACATAACTCCAATGTGGAATACATCCTCCTTTATCAGCAGAAAAGAAACATTTGTTGATGAGGAATCAGAGAAAGGAAACATTTGTTGATGAGGAATCATAGCCTGGAGAATTTTGTACAATTAGACCTTGTTAAAATAATCCTTCTATTCCTTTAGCCTTTACACATAATTTAGTTACTCTCCCACAATTGCTTCTCTTTGTTCAAACCAATACAAAATCATGTAGGCTTTGCCAATTCTTTGGATCTTCATTTGCTCATGAGTGTTATTCTCTCATGTAAAACACATTAAATTTGTATGCTTTTCACCTGTCAGTGTATCTTATGTCAATTCAATTCTTAGGCTCCTCTTGGGACTCTTAGAACGTAAAAGTAAAGGTTTCAACCACCCTACAAGATAATATAATGAAAGAAATTTACCAAGTTTNTATTCTGTTGAGTATATATCTCACATTTTCCATATCCATTCATCTGTCAATGGACATTTAGACTGGTTCCATATCTTGGCTATTGTAAACAGTGCTGCAATAAACATGGGAGTGCAGGTGTCCCTTCAACATGAAGATTTCCATCCCATTGGGTATATACGCAGCAGTGGGATTGCTGGGTCGTATGGCAGTTCTATCTGTAGTTGTCTGAGTAAACTCTGTACTGTTTTCCATAATGTCTGCACTAACTTACCATCCCACCAGCAGTGTAGGAGGCTTCCTCTTTCTCCACATCCTTGCCAGCATTTGTTATTCTGTCTTTTTTTTGTTGTTTTTTTTGTCTTTTTTCGTGACCGGCAATGGATTGCAACCCTCAGTGTCACGCCCGTACCAGACCGGGACCGGCAACGGGATCGCAACCCACGGTGTTGCGCCCGCATCTCGCTCAGCCAGTGAGCAGCTGGTCTGTATGTGGGATCCGAACTCTCGGCAGGAGCGCCACTGCGCTCCCAAGCGGCGCACTGTAGCAGTGCGCCACCGGGCCGG